TGTAGAAATCAGAATTACTTCCTTATTTCTCAGAGTAATTTAGCAGTAAAATAACAAATCGGTAATAATTTCCGGGGGAAACTGGGACACAAAGCAAAGTTACAAAGCTTATCAAAGATATTGAAGAATAAGGAAGAAGACAGAGTGAACTTAAATAAATATTTATTAAGCATCTACTTTCTCCTAGTGTACTTAGGGGAGGGTATGTCCCAGTATGTAAAGAAATGAATACAGTCTTCTCAGTGATCATTGCCCTGAATAAGGAGAAGCAGACATCTAAACAGATATTTGCAATACGATGTAACAAATGAAAAGTAAGTATGGACAAAATCTAAGATCAGTACAGGGAAGTTGTGTAGAAAATGAAGTTGGAGAATGTAATACATTTAAAATGATAAAAGAAATTAACAGGAATTAAAATTTTCTGTAAAATAGAGGGATGGATATGTGATAATGTAAAATTTAGGTGATAAGTATAAAACCAAACCAAACCCTTTGCTGTCGAGTCGATTCCGACTCATAGCAACCCTATAGGACAGAGCAGAACTGCCCCACAGGGTTTCCAAGACTGTAATCTTTATGGAAGCAGACTGCCACATATTTTCCCATGGAGTGGCTGGTGGGTTCCAACCGTTGACCTTTTGGTTAGCAGCCGAGCACTTAACCACTGTGCCACCAGGGCTCCTTTGGTGATGGGTATAAGGGTGTTCATTTTAAATTTTTTTCAACTTTGCTGTAGTTTGATAAGTTTCATAATAAAATGTTGGATAAAAAATTGTTTAAAAAAAAAAAAGGTGAGATGAAAGAGGCAGTAAGCACAATTTTCACTTTTCTTATGACTAAAAACCAGTAGTCATGGAGTTGATTCTGACTCATGGTGAAACCAGTGTGTCAGAGTAGAACTGTGCTGCATAGGGTTTTCAGTGCTGATTTTTGGGAAGTGGATTGTCAGGCCTTTTTTTCTGAGGCATCTCTGGGTGGACTCAAACCTCCAGCCTTTCAGTTAGTAGTCAAGCGCGTTAACCGTTTGCACCAACCAGGGACTCCATTCCTTATGACTAGTAGGTTCTTAATAAATACAGTAGAAGGAACTGAATGAAATAGAGAAGAATTTCTCATTTCTCTGTGGGGAAGGCAAACCAGTACCAAACCTGTCACCGTCAAGTCGATTCCAACTCATAACAACCCTATAGGACAGAGTAGAACTGCCCGATAGAATTTCCAAGGAGCACCTGGCAGATTTGAACTGCTAACCCTTTGGTTAGCAGCCGTAGCACTTGGCCACTACACCACCAGGGTTTCCGTGGGGAAGGCAGGTTGTCAATAAAAGCAGAAATGTCTTGCTCTAGTATGGTTAATGTATCTGTCATGAGACCCAGGAGAGTAAAAGTTCATCCATTAAGCAAAATGTAGCAACCATCAGGGTATAGACACATTCTAAATGTTGTTATAGGATTGATTCAAACAGTAGGGATCTAGACTACACAACGAAGTTTTAGTAGAAGTCTTAGTTTCCTAGTGCTGCTGTAACAGGAATAGCACAAGTGGATGGCTTTGAAGAAGGAGGCCGGAAGTCCCAATTCAGGATACCAGCTCTAAGTGAAGGCTGTCTCTGTTGGCTGCGGAGGAAATCCTTGTCTCTTCCAGCATTCCTCGGTTCCATGGATCTTCATGCAGCATCTGTCATCCTCTGTGTTTGTTTATCTCTGTGTCTAATCTGCTCTTTTTATAACTCAGAGGTGATTAGGTTTAGGACACACCCTTCACTGATTATAGCCTCATTAACACCAAAAAGAAAATCTATTCCCAAAATGGGTTGTATCCACAAGTATAGGGGTTAGGATTCCAACACATGCTCTGCAGGGTGGGTGCACAATTCAGTCCATAACAGCGGGTAGCAAACTCTGGTTCATGAACACTAGCAACCATAGGTTGTAATTTGGAAGTAATGTCAAAATCTAAAATAGTTTAACATTATTTATCAATTAAATTAATTTACACCAAATACAAAAAACCTGTTGCCATCAAGTTGATCCTGACTCATAGTGACCCTGTAGGACAGAGTAGAACTGCCCCCATAGGGTTTCCAAGGCTGTAATCTTTATGGAAACAGACTGCCACATCTTTCTCCAGAGGAGCAGCTGATGGGTTTGAACTGCCAACGAGTGCTTAACCACTGTGCCTCCAGACTATCTTAATTCATAAATAATGATGTCCTTAATTTAACAGATGAGGAAACTGAGGCTTAGGAGTTGAAATTCAAGTTGTGAAACTGGGGCCCAAGTCTTCTAACATCAAGGTTTTCCCCGTGTCAGGTCTCCAGGGTTTGAAACCATAGTGCTTATTTTAATATTTTGATAGATTAGATTAGAAATAGTGAAGAATTATTGCTGATACGATGCTTCAACAATTTTATTATACCCAGGATATGGAGAGAACTGATCCCAAGTTTAGAAGCTGTTACAGGTGTGACTTGCTTTAGACCAACTGAAATAGTTTTCACTACTAATCATAGTGTGCTTATGAGCACTGGATTTTGGAGATAAGTTTGGTAAAATTGTTTAAACATGAGTATTCTGGTCTTAAAAAGAAACTTTTGGAACATGTATTGAAAGGACCCCATTTTCATAAGCATTCAATGTTATATATAGTACAGGATATATAACGAGGGGATATAATTTGACATATCTAAACTTGTGGTATGGTGAGACATTTTATAACAAGATTTTAGCCAGAGCAAATATATAAATACAGTTATTCCAGCTAAAGCTGATTGATATATACAGTAGTTCATGTATGTAGTTAATATAGTATAGTTTGATATAGGTAATGTAGTTTACTTAATATAGTATACTTTGGTATAGTTTGATATAGTTAATGGGTATTTATTTCCTAATGAACTTAGGCCAAGATTTTCTTAAATTAAGGAAACTGAGATTACAAGGAAATAACTTTTCCTTTTTGTTTAATTGGCTGTGAATATTTTGGAGGTATTGACAGGTTATTTAGACTTGACAGTCTTCTCAAGTTGCTGGCAGGAATATACTGCTAAGTTTGTTCTTCTGAACTATGAAAGGTAAAGTTGCATAATTTATGATAGATAGTAAAGGGTTTTAAAGTAAGTTTTGACCTGAATTTAGTACTTTCCTCTGAGGGAATGAAACATCTTTTTATAATACTGAAGTTTGATTTTTTGATTGGCTTGAATCTTATGACTTGGGTAAATAAAGTTAACAGTGTTTGTATTCTTATTCTAAATTGATAGCGCTAGCATTTTTCTTCTCCTGGGGATGAGATTAAAGGAAATGATTGTAATACCAGGGCAAATGTTATACTTTACTTCAAGGCCCTGCTTTTCCTAGAGCTTCTGAAGTTGCTTATCAAAGATGTGGACTCTCTTGTACCATAAGTATAAACTTTCCTTTTTAAGAGGCAGTCGTGGCACCAAATTACCTTGTTTGTTTGGAAGCTATATTACCTAGAGACTGACCTACTCTTTCTCTGATAATTTCTGCACATTCTGAATATTTACTTTCTTAGCCTTAATCTTGCTCTCTGTCTGTGAGATTTAAATACGTGAATAATACCTACCATTGCCTGAATATTTTTGCTGACTTTTTTATTTTTAATTTCCTGACATATTTTTTTTAAATTTCAGCAGTCAGTCAAGTATTTATTAATTGAAAGCTTACTATTTTCTGTGACATCTTAAGAATATAAAATTTAAACAAGCAAATATATCCAGTCTAGGGGAGTCATGGAATACAGTTTAGAATAGCATTTTCTTTTTGAACTTGACCACCTATAGTCTCCTATTGTTTTTAGTTTTGTTGTTGTTGTTACAATGTTTTAAGGGAAAGAAGGCAAGAACAAAATCATTTTGTTTCTGTTGGCCTTATTAGACTGTGAGTTAGTAGAGGTTAAAGAAAGAAAAAGACCTCTATGTGTGTTTGTGAACACTTTATAATACTTTGTAATTGCCAGTGTCGTTATAGAAGTTATCTTGGAAGGGCTTTGAGAAAGTGAACTATCCCAAAACTACAGAGGCAATGTTCTACAGAAAGGATCAGCAAACGTTGTGTACATTAACTCAGAGATTTCTCAACGACAGCATTTAGTGTGCCATGATCAGCTGTGAATTAAGCCTCAAGTAATTTTAAATGATTTATAAGTGTCTGTCTTCACATTCCTGTGTGCTGTTTTAAGTGAAAGGATGTGGCTTAATGATACATGAAGGCTATGTCTGTCATGGGCATTGTTGTGTTAAGGTGTGCGTTGTCGTGGAGCCCTAAGTGATTTTACTTTGGGCTGATGAGTGGAATATAATGTCTGAGGCTAACACATTCGTTTTTAGTCAGTTAATGTCTTCCTTGCTTCCTCCTCCTTTGATACTAGGAAAGTAAAAGGTAGGAAGGCATGAATTAAGCATTTGGCAAGTCAGCAGCATATTCAGTATTCTTCCTGAAACTTATTTTAATTGTGAGAACCTGAATTCCAAACCTAGTTCCGTAGTGACATTACTCTTTGAGGAAATAGCAAAGGCAGTTATGCATGTGAGTGATTTCTAACACTCTTCCGAAGTTGCCTGTCCAAAGTTAAAAAAAGGGAGAGTGAACAGATACAGATCCAGTAACAGCAGGATTCATGATATAGCTACTTAGTAGCCAACTTATACCTAGTAAAAGATAGGAAGGAAATACAGGTCTGAAACTAAGCAGGAAGAAGAAGAAGTAAGAAGGTTTAGACCTCATAGTGCTTAAAATCAATATTAAGGTTTTTTTTTAATAATAATAATAATGTAAAAAAAATTTATACAGATTTATACAGTATAATTCTAATTTTGTTTAATATAGCATTTGTGTGTGTGAAAATGTGTTTGTATGTAATCTTTTTTCAGTGATTTATTTTATTTTTATTGTCAAGAATATACACAGCAAAACATACACCAATTCAGCAGTTCCAACATGTACAATTCAGTGACATTGATTACATTCAAGTTGTGCAACCATTCTTACCCTCCTTTTCTGAGTTGTTTGTATGTGATCTTGAAAACACACCAAAATGTTCCCTACTATTAGATAGAATAATAGCAGTTTTGGAGACTACTATTTTCTTTGATTTGTATTCACTTTTCTACAAAGAATATGAATTACTTAAGTAATCAAAAAGCTATTATTTATTATATACACACGCATATGTATATAACATTTGTTGTTCCGTCCTGACAGTAAATGTCTTTTTTAATTTTCTAGGTGCACCAGAGGCTTTCTTCCTGGCAGAATTTGGGAGTTGTTTATTGCAGTACTGTTGTGCCCTCTGATGGTGAGTTTTGGCAAATCCGTTTTTTATGTCTAGTGGCATTTTTTTTTTGTTTTGGGGGTTTTTTCCTTAGCCCAGTGTTTCCCATTCTCTAACATACAAATTTATAAACCATACTCTTTCACTTAAGGAGGGCTTGGAAGTCAGAGAGAGAAGAGAGAGCCAAAGGAGGGAAGTAAAATTTGGATAAGGATTAATTATACACTAGTGAATTTAGAGAAGTCAGGAAGAAAAACGAATAGACCCTTCAAGTCATAGGTCATAGACTAGTACTCTCTGCCTTTTCATGTATGTTTTAGAACTGGGGATGTAGTTCATGTGAAGGTCACAGAAGCACCATGTTTTGTATTTCCTACCCGTTGGGTCTTCACATTTCGGATTGTGATCAAATACTCCAGCACCTTGGTGGCATCAGAGCCTAGACAGAAGCAGTTCAAAGCTTGGGACCTCCTACTCTTGCTTATTTTTCTTCCCTTGGGCTCAGGGCTGCAGTATTCTTTGATGTGGGAAGGGATGAACACGTGTTTGGGAAGCACATGCAGTTGTTTGTAAATGTCCATGATGCTACAAACTGGCAGCAGAAGCTAAGCTGTGCTTGTTTTTCCAGTAGTAGAGGTAGATTTGTTCATAATTCTTGTCATTTCTCTTACATAATATCACACATTTTCAGTTTGGTTTGCTCAGATTAGGGATGACTGTTTAATATATTTCTGTTTGATAGGACTCTAATTTCACCCTTTTAAACATTAATTCATAGGCACAGCAACCATAGAAAGAGCACCCTGTAAATTTGCAAGGACCTCTAATGCTGAAGAAACCCCAAAAGATGAAGCATGAAAATCCTAGGATCTCCTGTATTTAATCAATATAGATATTTGCAGTGTTATCAGATGCCCCCCCAAAAAAAGCTGTTCAGTTATCTGACTATATCGAGAGTGTACTCATATTTGCTAAATCCTCTAAAGTTAGAGGAATATTCATTGTATTTACTCACTTGTAGTATGACAAGGTTGAAAGGGAAAATAGACCAGAAGCAAAACAAGGAAAATGTTAGCTGAGTTTCTTTTTCCTGTCTCTAGAGGCATAAAGAACTGGTTAAGTAATATAAATTAATATATAAATTAAAAATTAAAAAGCAGCACTCATCATTTCGTTGGGGCCAGAGGACAGGTACGTGTGTTGCTCCCAGTCAAGATTCATTGTGTACCTAGATGCCAACACTTCCCACATGAACATAATGCTACCTGCCCATGCTACCTAGTCCATTTAGTCCTTAGCAAAATAAAACCAAACCCTTTGCCATCAAGTCAGTTCCGACCCATAGCGACCTTATATGAGAGAATACAACTGCCCCATGAGGTTTCCAAGGGGCAGCTGGTGGATTCGAACTGCCGACCTTTTGGTTAGCAGCTGAGCTCTTAACCACTGCGCCCCCCAGGGCTCCTATTTAGTCCTTAGGCCCCTCCAAAGCAATGCATGGTTAATACTCTTACCCCTGACACTATCTTGGTCCACTAAGCAGCAAAATGGGAGCTACCCACATCTATATCAGCACTGCTCCGAGGTGCCATCATCTTCTTCCATTACCACTGCTGGGTGACATCATTAGGTAATTTCAATAAAGAGAAAATTTCTGTCAATGTAAAATATTGTTTATAGTGCTGAATCCTCTCTCGGCTTTTGCTGAAGTAACAGCATTTCATTCCAAAAAAATTCTAGCCATTTAATATTGTCTGAAATTGTTAACATATTCAGTGTCAGTATATATCAGTATATTTCAATAAGCTGTATATATTCAGTATAACTAAGTCGTGCTACAACAGGAGACTCATATACCAGCGGTTGTTATGATAGCCAATGGCAGTTAATTTGAATTAATGAATTCATATTGGAATTTATATTATTAATTTTACCACTTAATGCAGTTCCTGTTATTCTGTATACCAGTCTGTATGGAAGTGTTGCAATAATTTAACAATGACACAGTTGTACTGGGGCACCTGACTGAATGTTATCCACGACATAAATGCTGCTACGTTGTGCCTATGTTACATGAGGGGTTAAAGACAATTTCTTTTTTACAAAAGCTAAAAGGACACCAGCTTGACAAAAAAATGAGAATCTCCCAATATTTTTACCAGTAAACCCTGTTGCCATCGAATCAATACCGACTCATAGCGACTCTATAGGACAGGATAGAACTGCCCCGTAGAGTTTCCAAGGCTGAAACTTTTCGGAAGGAGCCCTGGTAGCACAGTGGTTAAGTGCTTGGCTGCTAACCAAAAGGTCGACGGTTTGAACTCACCAGCTGCTCTGAGGGAGAAACATGTGGCGGTCTGCTTCCATAAAGATTTACAGCCTTGGAAACCCTATGGGGCAGTTCTATTCTGTCCTAAAGGGTCGCTACGAGTCGGAATCAACTCAATGGCAAAGGGTTTTTAATCTTTTCAAGAGCAGATTGCCACATCTTTCTTCTGCCGAGCGGCTGGTGGGTGTGAACCATCAATCTTTTGCTTAACCACTGCACCACCAGGACTCCTCTTTCTTATTTTATACTTTTAAATTAATTCTACCTTAGATAAATATAGCATATGAGAAAAGTCTGCTTAATACACAGAGACTTCAGTAAATAGCTTAGCCACCAGTAACAAACATCTTCACCATCATTCACTGTTTTGTGGTGACTGCCAAGTCATATTCAGTATCAAATGAGGACTTGATCCCTTTTTGTTGTTGTTCTTTTAGGTTTTTTTGTTTTGTTTTAGCTACCATCATTTCTGACTCATGGCGACCCCATGTGTGTCAGAGTAGAACTGTGCTCTACAGGGTTTTTAATGGCTGGTTTTAAAAGTACAAAGTCTAAAATACCACATTATATAATTGTGGTATCATATATCTATAACTAGGTGTCTCAGGAATTTATTGTTATGATAACTGGTTATAAAGTAAATAAATTATCATTAATATTTAGCCTCCCTACTAAAGCAGTCGTGCTTTTAGTTATCGTTAGTTGCTATTGAATTGATTCCGACTCATGGCGACCCCATGTGTCTAACAGGTTCTTAATCTTTTTTGTATCACAGATACTTATGAGATCTAATGAAAGCTCCAGACTTCTCCTTTAGAAAAAATCATATATACACATAGAAAATTTTACGTACAGTTTCATAGTGATTATACGCTCCCTCAAACCAAACCATGGAATCTCTGGTCTCATGGACCCCAACTTTAGAACCCTTTGGGATACTTTGCACTCAGGTACACATGCACATACCCATATCCATATTTCCTTACATGAGAGGCATTATGCATAGAGATTAAGAGCTCTGGATTCAAGCAAACCTAGGTGTGCATCCGTTTTTACCATTTACCAGCCTTATAAGCTTAGGCAAGGTAATTAACTTCTCAAAACCTCAGTTTTCTCATCTGTAAAATGGAGGTAAGTTACCACCTTCAAGAGAAAAATGTGTTTACCCTATAGAAATAGTACTTACCCACTAAAAACTCTTGCCACAAGGTATTTTTGTAAGCACACTATACTAATTTTTTTTACAGGAACATGTTAAAAAAAAATTGGCATAGCCGTGCTTCTGAAAATACCTCACGGGGAGGGAGTGGTTGGCAAACAAATGTAGAAGGCATGCATTATTTGCATAAAAATACTAATCATCTGTTGAGTTAACCCAACTAGTGATTGTGTATAAATTCATAGTCATGATTGGTTCTGGGAACCAGACATACACCCTCAATTTAAAAAACTTCTTTCCTATTACTTTTTTTTAAAAAAAGCTTTATTGAAATATAGTTTTAACCACTTAACCATTGAATTGATTCTGACTCATGGCGACCCCATGTGTGTCAGAGTAGAACTGTGCTCCGTAAGTGGATGATTTTTTTGGAAGTAGATTGCCAGACCTTTCTTCCACAGAGCCTCTGACTGGACTGGAACCTCCAACCTTTTGGTTAGCAGCTAAACTCATTAACTATTTGTACCACCTAGGGATGAGATACATTTTACATACCATAAAAGTCACCCATTGTAGTGTAAGCATCGCAACAACCTAGCTTTAAAACACTTCGTTCACTCCTAAAAATTCCCTTTTGCAATCAATCCTTGTTCCCATCCTCAGCCCCAGGCAACCACTGACCTGCTTTCTGTCTCTGTTGTTAAAAGCTAAAATGTTCCTAAAATTGTCATGTAAATGGACTCATACAATATGTAGTCTTTTGCGTCTAGTTTCTTTTACATAGCATAATCCTTTTCAGGTTTATCCACATTGTAGCTTATGTTGTGGAGTCCCTGGGTGGGGCAAACTGTTAATGCTCTCGGGTGCTAACTGAAAGGTTGGTGATTGAGTCCACCCAGAGATGCCTGGGAAGAAAGTCTTGGAGATCAGCTTCCAAAAAGTCAGTCATTGACTGGCACTAATCCAAAAACCACAAAATAATAAATGCTGGAGAGGTTGTGGAAAGACTGGAACACTTATACACTATTGATGGGAATGTAAACTGGTACAACCACTTTGGAAATCTATTTGGCGCTTCCTTTAAAAGCTAGAAATAGAAGTACCATGTGATCCAGCTATCCCGCTCCTTGGAATATATCCTAGAGAAATAAGAGCTGTCACACGAATAGATATATGCACACCCATGTTCATTGCAGCACTGTTCACATAGCAAAAAGATGGAAACAACCTAGATGCCCATCAGCGGACAAATGGATAAACAAATTATGGTATATCCACACAGTGGAATACTATGCAATGATTAAGAACAACGATGAAGCCATGAAACATTTTATAACATGGAGGAAGCTGGAGGTCATTATGCTGAGTGAATTTAGTCAGTCACAGAAGGACAAATATTGTACAAGACCATTATTATAAGAACTCAAGAAAAGGTTTAAACATAGAAGAAAACATTCTTTGATGGTTACGAGGGTTGGTAGGGAAGGTGAGGATTATTTACTAACTGGACAGTAGGTAAAAATTATATTAGGTGAA